CCCGGGCCCCGCGCGCGGCCGCCCCCCCCCACCCACCCCTGCGCGGGGGCCGGGCCACGGGAACGCCCTCCCGGAATGAAGCGCTTCCCCGTGCCTTCAAGGTAGCTCTGTTCCGGATCGGGGACCCCCCACCCCCAGTCCTCCCTGTCAGGTCCCCTCTCTCCAGAATTTAAGAGATCCCCAATCTCCCTGGGTCGGGTGGGAGAGAGCTGGGGTGCCCCTCAACCCCCATACGCTCCGACTGGTGAGAATCCCTCCATTCCCCAGGTCGGAGCGAGAAGCCACCTCAGAGCTCCCAGTGTCCTCCGAACCTAATTTAGAACCCCCTTAGCGACCCTCAGTCCACCTTTTAGTGCCTCGCGTCCGGAGTGGGGAACCTCCATCAGCACCCCATTTCCCAGTCCCTCTTCAGCCCTGGCTGTCCCGAGTGGGAATCCCCTCAGCTCCCCCAAAGCCCTGTGGTCCACAGTTGGGGACCCTTATCGGCCCTTGAGAAGCCCCCCTCCCCAAGCCTAGGGTCCCAGTTTGCCACCCCCACCCCGCGCCTTGTCCCCCGACCCCAGTGCGAGTGGTCAGTCTCCTCTGCTCTCCTCGCCCCTGGCTCACTGTTTGTCCCATTTAAGAGTCCTGTCCGGATTCCCGGAACCCGAGGCTGGGGAAGTCAGGGCCTTTTAGAGCCTCGGGTTTCCACTGCTGGAGCCCGGGTGGCTCGGCCATGCCCCTTTCCCTCCGAGCGACCCCCTTCTGCAGACTTCCAAGCTCCACCCCATCGGACTGGCAGAACCTCGGCTACCTACCCACTGCGTTTGGAGTGACCTCCCTCAGTCCGTCTGGATTTGAGACTATCCTCCATGAAAGCAAACACCTTCCTCCCCACCCCCATCTTCCGGGGTCTCTGGGACCCCCTGGGAGTCATCTCACCAGCCCCCAAATCCCTTCCTTCCAATCTGATGACAGCCCTGAGCCCGATGCTGGGTCACCTAGGGGGCAGGGACCACTCTCCGTGTCCCAACCTCCCCGGTTCCCAAAGCCTAAGGACCCTTCAACTTCCCTGGTTGACACCAGCCCAGAAAGGATCTGAACTGGAAGCAGACTGCCAACAGCCTCCCCCATTCCCAACCCTGCTGGTGGTGGGGGGCGCTCGGTGCCAAGTAAGCCCCTCCCTCCCAACTCACCCCCCACTCCTTTTCCCCTGCCTACCTTACATCTACCCAGTGGAACCCAGCGACAGCCGTCGGTGGCAAACCCCGTGCTGCTCACCCTCACATCTCGCCTCTATTTAATCACTTCTTATTAATGTGTGCAGACTCTGGGCACCTGCCTTCCCCCTCCTCTTAGGACACTACTTCCCCCTCACCCCAACCACCCCCCAGGTAAGAGCGGGAGACTCACGTTAATGGTTTCCTTGGGGACCCTCTGGGGATGCTCAGCAGGTATATCCGGCCACCCTAGGTGCATAACACTAGAAACAAACTCGCTTTTCCTGTTTCTGTCCCTCCTGCTCTGCCCCATGGTTTCTCAGCACGGATGGGGGGCAGCCCCCACCCCATGCAGGGCATTTCTCAACACAAACTGGAAGGCCAGGTGTGTCCTGGAGAGATGGACGAGGGTCAGCAGGTAGCACTCCAGTATTAGGGGACTGAATCTTCCTAGATCTGAACTTCACCACTCTTGGGTAGGAGATGGGGTCAAGTGGAGACGCGTGTGCGTGTGTGTGTGTGTGTGTGTGTGTGTGCCTTCAGGTGTCTGTGAGCAGTAATTCATGTGTGTTGGGAAGGTGGCCTGGGAACTAGGACACAAGTAAAGGTCATTTATCCAGAGCCAACCAAGACTGAAAGGAGCAGCTTGAGATAGGTTCCCATGTTTTAGCATCCTCATGTGGGTCTCCTTTTCCTCAGCCTCTGGGAATGTGTGGGGCAGATTTAGAGACGTTCCCCTCGCTCTGTAGGTTCATCTCACTTTGTTCGCAGTAGGGGCAACAGGTCTTCCTAAGGATAGTCTCGCAGGACAATGCAGCTGTGAACGCGTGATCCCCACAGTAAATTGAGGATCTCAGCAGTATTAAGGAAAAATGATCTTTAAAGCAACTGGCCCAGACTCCAGAATTAGGAGATTAGAGGATGTGGTTTCAGCTCTTTCTCTTTAGTACTACACACACAGAGCATCACTCAGAATAAAAGAATAATTTGCTTTATAGGTTTTTTTTTTTTAATCCTCTTGAGAAAGACAGTGGCACATGATATTATAGCCAAGCAGTGAGATGCAACTTAGCAAAGCATCTTCATACAAGACACGGTCCTAGGTGCAGAAATGGCAGCACCTACCTTTGTGAAGGTTGCTTTCTGGGACCAGCAGTTGGCATAATGGCTATGTCGCTGGACTCCCATGTAGTCGACCGCGGTTTGAGTCCCAGACCTGGTGGCTTAAACTATTGCCAGGCGCGTGTGCGTGCGTGCCCAAGATCCTGGGAGAGAGAGGAGAATGGAGGAGAAGGGATTGCAGCGGTGGCTATGCCCCCTGGGGGATGATTTCTCGCTTTCTGTCTGTCTTTCTCTGTCTTTCTGGCGAGCGCATGCACCCTATAGCAAAAACCTCTCCAAAGGGGGGGGGGGGGTGCCTTTCTAGAGACAGCAGTAAAAGAATGAATGAATGAGTGAATGCTGTGTTCAGTTCAATATTGTAAGTACTTCAGAGAAGGAAGGGGAACAGGAAGGGTGGGTGGCTTGGGGGAGAGGCTAATATGCCATTCTAAATCAGAAAAGTTCTCATAGGAAAGGTGATGTTTTAGCCAATTTGTAGATGACGGCCGTGAGTCTACTGTATTATCGAGAGCTCTTGTTTAAGCAGAATGCCTCTATTCTTTTTCTTTCAGAGTGTGCTCACCAGAGACAGAAACTGAGAAGGCAGCCCTGCAGGGGAGATGACCATACTTCAGTCTCTTCCCCTCCGTTTCCCCTTTAGGAAATCTGGGCAAACACACACACGCACACGGCATTTTTTTAAAAAAAGAGAATTATTTCTTTATTTTTATTCATTTATTCATTTATTTTATTTTGACCAGAGAGAGATGGGGAGGGGAGGTTGAATGAGAAAGCAAGCCACCAGGTCCAGGACTCCAACTGTGGTCGGCCATGTGGGAGTGTCTGGCGCCTAAACCACCACGCCACCTGCTGGTCTCTTGGCATGTTTTTGAAGCCATCCGGCCTGGAACTGCACCTGCACAGTTACGTGGGACCCAGTTGCCTTAAACACCACCTCACCAGTTGGCCCAAATGCCTGTATGTCTTCAGTTGAATGCAATGATAATTGATGTTCATAATTAATCTGCTCCAAAACTGTTGTTCTCAAACCTTGGTGTCCATAAAAACCTCCCAGTGATTTTTCAGTAACCCAGTTTGGCTGGGGGGGGGGGATCTGAGAACTGCTTTTTTAAAACAAGTACTTCTATTGGATGATGGTAATAGCTAAGGTTTGCTTTGATTGCCTATTGGAGAAATACTCTGAAGTAAGTGGAAGGAATAGTGTTCAAGAATGACAACAGGGGCCGACAGGTGGTGTGGTGGTTAAGGGCGCTGGATTCCCACATGACCGACCGCGGTTCAAGTACCCGACCTGGTGGCTTGCTTTCTCGCTTTCCCCCTTTCTCTCTTTCTCTCTCACTCCGTTCCTCTCTGATCAAATTAAAATAAATAAATAAGGGACTGGCAGGTAACATGGTGGTTAAGGGCACTGGACTCCCACATGGCTGTCCATGGTTCAAGTTCTGGACCTGGCGGCTTGCTTTCTCCCTTTCTCTCTCTCTCCCTTTTTCACTCTGTCCTTCTCCAATCAAATTAAAATAAATAAATGAAGTTAAATAAAATGATTCTTTGGAAAAAATAAATAAAAACAAAGTTAAATAAAATAATTCTAAAAAATAGAATGACAGCAACACATTCTTTTTTAATTATTTAATTTGGGGACGAGCAATTAGCATAATGGCTATGTCACTGGACTCCCACGTAGCTAACCTCGGTTCAATACTGGACCCGGTAGCTTAAACTCACGCCAGGCGCAAGTGCGTGCGTGCCCAAGACCCTGAGAGGAGAATGGAGGAGAAGGGATTGCAGCATGGCCATCCCCCCCGGGGGGTAATTTCTCGCTTTCTGACTCTCTCTGTCTCCAAAAAAAAAAAAAAGAATTTTATTCATTGTAATTATTTTATTCATTGTAATTATTTTATTTATTTATTTTTTAAGTTGACTAGAGAGACAGTGAGAGAGAAGAAAAGTGAGAAAGCAAGCTGCCAGGTCCAAGACTCGAACCGTGGTCAGACAGGTGGTAGTCCAACTGCCTTAACCACCAACCACCTGCTGGACCCTACAACAACAAATTTAAAGATTAAATAATAGTATATGTGGTTTTAGTTCTGAGAGCATTTTACTGTGTTCTCATTCTTTAAAAATGGAATACCCGGGGACCAGCAGGTGGTGTGGTAGTTAAGGTGCTGGGTACTCACACATGGCCAATCACGGTTTGAGTCCAGGGTCTGGTGGCTTGCTTTCTGACACTCTCTCTCTCTGTGTGTGTGTGTGTGTGTCTTTCTCTCATCAAAATTTAAATAAATTAATTAAATTAAAAATAAATAATTCTTAAAAAAGAAGAAAATGCAATACCCAAGCAAAGCCCTGGATTACCCAGAGCATCCCATTTCTATTTCTTTTAATGCTTTTAAACTTTAATAAATAGTCTGTGTTTTTTTTTAAAAAATTCATTTCATTTTATTTATGATTATTATATATTTTTTAATTCATCAGAGAGAGAGAGAGGGAAAATGATAAAGCAAGCCACCAAGTCTGGGACTCGAAACAGTCAACCATGTGGGAGTCCAGCATCTTAACCACCATGCCACCTGCCTGCCCCTATCCCATTTTTTAATCCAGTCAGAAGAAGGAAATTTTTTTTTTCAGCTGATTAGGGGCCATACATTTATAATCAGTCTGTTTTACAACCTCCCCCCACTTTAAAATTTTTTAATGTTAAAAAAAATTTAAATAATTATTTAACTGTATTTATAAATTTATTTGACCAGAGAGGGACAGAGTAAGAGAATGAAAGAGAGAGAGGGAAAAAGAAAGCAAGCTGCCAGGTCCAGGACTTGAACCACAGTTGGCCATGTGAGAGTCTAGCGCCCTTGACCAGCCCCCTCTTTTTTAAATAGATTTTGCTTTTAGAGCAGTTTAAGATTTGCAGCAAAATTGAACAGAAGGTAAAGACTGCCTGCATATCCCCTTCTTCCTGGTATGTACAGCTTCCCCCATGATCAGCCTCCCCCAGTAGAGTGGTACATTGTAACAGCTGATGAGTCTACATCTCACACATTGGTATTCAAAGTCCATAATGTATCAGTATATTAAAGTATAGGCCAACCAGTGCCTTAGTGGTTAAGGCAGCTGGATCCCACATGACTGACTCCATGGTTTGAAGGTGGGACCCAGCAGCTTGAAGAAAGGCACCAGGTGTGCATGAGTACATGCTCAAAATCCCAAGAGGAGCATGGAGGGGAAGGAATGGGGAGTGGCCATTCCCCCTGAGGAGTGATTTCTAACCTTCCTTCTCTATACTGGTCTTTCTGGCGAGCATACTCACCCTGCAACAAACAAAACAAAACAGAAAAGAAAAAAAAAATAGGGTTCACTTTTGGTGTTGTGTATCCTATGGGTTTGTACGAATGTATAATGACTTATGTCTATCATAGTATCATACAGAGTAGTTGCACACCTCAAAAATTCTGTTTGGGGCCAGCCTGTGGCATGGTGGTTAAGGAGGCTGGATCCCACAGGGCTGGGTGCTTGCGTGCACAAAATTCCAAAAGGCGAAATGCAGAACACATTGCAGAATGGC